AGTGTCGGCATTGCTAATGAATTGATTAGTCTATCCAAGTAAGGGTGACTAATGACACTAATAGGAGTTATTAGTGTTGGCAATGACTACTTAAGAATTTGGGACGAATAAGAAAAGGAGTAAATTAGACAAAAGTTAGATGTGTGATAACAGGAAAAAAAAAAGCATAAATAGGTTGTGGAAAGATAGGTGTTAGATGTAGTAAAGGATCTTTTTTCGCTAATCAACTATGATTATACCCTATCAAGTAAGTACATGTATGTGTAGTTACATGTAGTAGTGACCCTTTATTATCTGGTTGTATTTTATTTATTTAATATAATTATTCTCTTATTTTGATGTTATAGGTCTTTCTCATTTCAATAAGGAATAATGTCCTAGGTGTCTAGTTCTTTTGTATGAATTAGGGAATTAGCATTTCCAATTCTTTTGTATGACTTAGGGTTAGCATCCTTATTTCTTCTGTGTAAACCTGGGATGAAATGGATGTTGTTGTATTTTCTTTAGATAATTATATGACAAGAACGATGTTAGTATTCCTTTATCTTAATCCTAGTGACCTTCAGGATTTCATGCTCATAATATTAATGTTAAGTCAAATTTGTGTTGTAAATTATATGTTTGAAATGATCCCTAGATTTGCAACATATTATGATTAATAATAATTGTGGTCACAATTTGATATAGATATGCATTGATGATGGAATGAATATAAGACATGTACAAGATAAATAACTTAGAACCTCCCGGTATAGGGGAGATTTCGCTGAAATTTCTGTAGAAATTTCGTTACAGTGTAAAATAAATCAAAAGAAATTACCCATATTTTTTTATGTATCAAATTATAGGAAATTAACTATAAATGCTTACGAAATCATCAGGCATTACAGATGGTGTTTTCATTAGAGGTTGTGCAGAAATCCCTTTTCTATTTTTGGAGCTTAGCACTTGTTCAAGCAGATTTGTAAATCTAGCTACTTCACCTTTGATGCTTTTAATTTCATTTTGATAATAGGCCTCTAATTGAGCTTTTTCTTTATTTTTCATCTTTCAAGTGTATCAAATCTTGGGGGGAGGGGGCCCTATGTTTCAACATGACAATATGTATGATAAATGTATGGGCATGTTCCTATATGATGAGCTTACCCTTCCAGGGTTAACACATGGTCGTAACCCTTGCATAATGATACAAGAATTTTGATTCTTGCTCTACAACAAAAATTTACTGAGTAAAGCCATTGTGTCAACCATAAGTCTTGAGTTCAAGATGTTTCAAGAAGGATTTACTCTGATGCAAAACAAAAGGTAAAATATAGGTTGTATTCATTAAGTGAGATAAAGGGTAGATTGACTATCTAGTCTAAAAAAGGTCTTATATATGCCCAATGATGATCTTCGTAAGGACAGTGCGGGGGCGTTACAAGGAACAGTTAAGACACGTATGCCTACCATTACCAAGAAGGCACTTAGATACAAGTTGGTTGTTTCACACATCTGAATCCTGACCAACAGTTTTAGGATAAATTGTTAATCCCCCACCTAACTTAGAAGCTTGTATATGCTTTCCAAAAATTAAAGTATGTGATGCATGAGGTATTTTTATACAATGCATGAACATATATGTACAAAAATTAAAGCAAAAAATAAATAAATAAGCTTACTAACAGAAAACACGCAAACAAAAAAAATAATTATCAGACAAAAACAAAGCTTAATCCACAAGGTTCCTAATAGAGTCGTCATTCTGTTCCACATGTACGACGTCGCGACGAAAACATCCACTCATAAATTCTGTTATCTATCTATCTATTTGGAAAATATAGGGAGACAAGAGATTCTTGGATCTTATCCATGGAAAATAGGAATGAGAGTCGCCACCTAGTACTTTTATCACAAAGAACCCTAACTGGTCTCAGAGATCGGGTATGAGAACTAGTTGCGTAAAGAGAAGGTATTAGCACCCCAAATATGCCCTAACTAAAGTAAGCTGAATTGTTTTATTGTCTAATAAAATCTACGGTCTTGTCGTGTTTTCTAGTTGTTAGTCTGTCTGTTATCTCAGATTTAGGTCCAATTTATATAG